ATTCATCGACTTAACTCACGTAAGTGAATAACGGAATTAAATAAGTTAAATACTAGAATGGATTTCGAATACTTATATTTCATACAATCATTGATATAGACAGACGATCAAAGAAACAAAGCAAAGGGAAGAAAACAAAGCAAAACGAAATGACACACGGTGGAGAAGGCGTGTGATCCAACTCGAGTTATTCAAGCGTGAGTTGATATTTAGAGTCAGACCAAAAACAAGTTACAGACAACTGATGAGTAAGGTATGAAATACACATGCATACGCTTACATAAAAACAGTCAAGGTTGATAAGCGAATAAGTGAAAAGGTAAATATGTAGTTTGAGAAGAATGAATAAATTGATCTGTCCATAGGCTAGCATAAGCTGTGGGCTTGACATAGAGCCAAACACTACAAATCCTTCATCAGTACAAATCTACTGTCATATTTGGAATAGAGCTCAAGAAATTAATGTCAAGGTGCCAGTGCCACAACTTTAGGTAGTTTGGTCAAAGTTCGGCTGAATGAATTACGAAATCCGGTTAATTTTATAGAACGCACACTGATTAGTCTTATTAAGTTTCAAATGGATAAATGACTGAATTTCATTAATTATAGCTTTTCATTGAAATTCCTCATATCCCCTTCGAACGTGATCATAAAAAAGCATTTTGATCACAACAGAGTTATTTACACAGTTTTGGGTTATGTTCACTTGTTTGGGGAAAAACTGGTATTTTATCAACCACCAAATTATAATATTTTAATTATGATTGATAAAAGTCGTAAAATAATTGACTGTAAAACACGAAGTGTTACTTAAATATTGTTCAGTAGTAAAAAACTGTGAATTAAATAATTTGCCATATACAGTGATGAATAAATGATCAATTGATGAACATTGATTTTTAGTGTTAACCATCAATCCTGTTCAGAAGAATATAAAACAGTGAAATCAATCATCAGGTTTTGGACAACCGACCTAAGTTTACACAGTGAAAAGAAAATTCATTAATTTTCCTCATTAGTTAACTTTTATTATCATCAATAAATCTCTATTATGCAAAAGGGGATAAAATTCACTTAATTTCTCAGAAATAAAACAGCTGTTATCTTGTCAATACGAATTATTTGACACATTCGCACCTAATTAGTCGGCTTATCAGTTGAATGTAGCCTAATCTTTCGATACATACAACAGAATATTGTGATAACATTAAGTTATTCTTATGTAGAGCAGAATGAATACAGTAAAAGTTTTGAAACTAGACTGAGCATCACTTTGAGCTTTGAACTTAAGCTATTCCATAAAGTAACTGAACATCTGTTAAAATTTGAATGAATAGTTCAACAGGAATAGTGTCACGACCTTTTTTAGTGAAATAATCAAAGTTGTATTTCTCGTTCATATAAATTCGTTTATAATAAAATGTATATAGTAGGTTTCTCGAGACTATATTAAACTTGAGGTCAAAATCATATGAGCGTAATACGCTTCTCGTTGTTCGAAGATGGGAGAATTTCGCCAAAAGGCAGGCTTCCACTCGAGAACAACTATATTTTCTCCATGAGTGTCTTCGCCAGCATGTTCTACCAACAAGTGTAAGATATAGACCTCCAATCAACTGCCCATTAGGATGGAGAATATCTGAGCAAAGTGGAAGAAAAATGGTACACCTAATGATAACTGATGCACACTACAGGATCCGCAAATACCAACACGTCATAGAGGACCAAAAGATAAAGCTGCAAAGGACGCTCACAACAGAACATTTGGAAATCGTGACAACAGCCATCGAGATATCATGCAACCGACACAGGGAACAAAGAAGAAATACCTTAAAGAAAAGACTAATCAAGATCTCAAAACCACCCATGGAAGAAAACACAAACAACTGCGTGATCAATCTGCCAAAACAACCACTAACAAATACGGAAGAACACTTGCTCCAAAAGGGATAAAACTACAATACAAGCGACGCCTCAAAGCTGGAGTTCTTCGCAGCACTAGAGTCATCACTCAAAACTTCCGAATCAGTGAAGAAACACAACAGGAAATAAGGCAAACTATAGTACGTATAACTCAACAGATGAAAGAAAACAACCAACTGACTCCACAAGAACAAAAAGCCTTGAAAGAACTCAGAAATAGAAAGGATATTGTCATAATACCAGCGGACAAAGGACGCACCACAGTAATCATGGACAAAGAAGAATACGTCAACAAAGCCGAAGAACTACTCGAAGATAAGAGCACATACAAACTGATGGACACAAATCCCGTTAAACAATTAGACAGCCAAATCTCAAAGACTTTAAACAAGCTAGTCAAAGCAGGAGAAATAACAAAACAAGACCAATGGAGAATGAAATCCAGTGGACCAGTACTCCCTCGATCCTACGGCAGACCCAAAATACACAAACCAAACATTCCACTACGTCCAATTGTAGCACTCCCCGGAACGTCGACGTACAATTTGTCAAAAGAAATTTCACGAATACTGAGACATCTAGTAGATTCAGCTAACTACTGCATCAAATACCCAACACAATCCCTGGACAAATTAAGGATATTCAAATCAACAACGACGAACTGATGATATCCTTAGACGTGACAGCACTGTTCACCTCAACTGAACCACAGTTAGCAAAAGAAACTATATCCCTGCTGCTCGACAACGACACAAATCTCACTAAATACACGAAGCTTCAAATTAAAAGTCTAATGGAACTCATCGACTTATGCTTAACATCATATTTTCAATTCAACAACAAAATCTACGAACAAACGAAAGGGACACCAATGGGATCACCAATATCAGGACTGATTGCAGAAGCAGTGATGCAAAGACTAGAAGCCACGATATTACCAGTGATCAAGTCAAAAATTTGGATTCGCTACGTAGACGACACATTCGTCATCGTCAAAAAGAATGAACTGGAAAACATATACAAACTGATCAACAACGTTTTCAATGACATCAAGTTCATAATGGAACAGGAGTCAAACAACCAACTAGCATCACTAGAACTGACACAGGAAAACTGGAAACTCAAGTATATAGGAAACCGACCCATACAGATCAAATTCTCAACTACAATAGCAACAACCCCAGAGCTCACAAAATCAACTGCGTACACACATTGTTCAAGAGGGCGAGGACACACTGCAGCACACTGGCAGCACGAAAAAATGAATAGAAATACCTGAGGGACATATTTCAGAAGAACGGCTACCCAATCAACTTCATCAAAAAGCACCAGCATCAGAACCCAAGTCAAGCACAAAAATCAACAAAAGGATCACCCTACCGTACATACAAGGAATATCAGAAACCGCAACGAGACTGCTGAAAACCTTCGGGATAGGTGTGGCACACAAACCAACAAAATCACTACAATCAATCCTATGCAAACCAAAGGATGAAATAACAAAAGGAAAAGAAATCAAACATCATCTACAAAATAAATTGTACCAACTGCGACAAACACTACATCGGACAAAGCGGACGCCCCCTCCACCTACGCCTACATCAACATCAATTAGCAGTCAAACGCCATGATATTTCTTCAGTTATATCAATACACGTGGATAACTACGGACATTCATTCGATTGGAAAAATGTAGAAATCTTGGACAGAGCAAACTCCAAAAACACCAGAGAATTTATAGAAGCCTGGCACTCAGGTCAATCAGCAATCAACAAACATATTGAAATCAATCCAATTTATCAGCCAATCAGGAAAATCATGCACCTGAGCTACAAATCTTCTCCACCATTTCATGCACAAATATAGGAACAAAAATCAAACCAATGGGAGACACAACCAAAACAAAGAAGTAAACAATGATAAATTTAAGGTCAATAAGGACCAATCAACATCGAGGTGCACAGAACAAGCTGTGAATCACATATGGAGAAATTCGAACACTTCACTTCTATTTGAAGTTTGTGCTGATGATGTCGTTCAGAAGAACGAGGAAAGCTCCACGACCAAACCATCCAGCTCAGAGAACAAAACTTCACCAAAAACTATATTAAACTTTTTGTTAGAGTTTACACGAGTTTATTCAAAGAATTCTCCTTGATTTATTTCAGTTAGAATCAGTAAGCAAAATGACATTGCTTAATAATAGATGAATATTCTGTATTCTATAAGAAGCTGACTGTTACGTGAATAGTTGGATGGTAACTTCTTTAACGGAGTCAATAAATAACTCAAGTATGAATCTTATACATTAGCATTGGTTATTCCCTTCATATTGTAAAATAAGAAGTATTTAGTAGATCACTTAAATTCAGAATATCTTTACATTTTCCTTCACCATCAATGTTATAATTGTTAGAAAGTTATATGTTCTTTTAAAGTTTAACTTATTCACTTATTTGCATTGTATAATTCTCATAGAACAACGTAATATTTGGTTGCTTTCATTTTCCTTTAAACTATAAACACTTATTATTATAATGGAGAGAAAAGATAATGATAACATTATTTCTATTCTATGTATTCTTTATCTAATTAATAAAGACTAAATAATGATAGATGGACAGTAGAATAATAATAATAATAATAATGTTCCTGTTTATATCCAATCAAAATGGTTTATTATGTTCAGATCAGAAGAAAATTGTCTAATTTTAATATAGACGTATAGGTATACCTTTATTAGCTAGAGTATAAACATTTTTTTCCCAGTGAAGACTACATGTAATCATTGTACATTCTTTATATTTATTAATAGACATATATATATATCTATCTATCTCATGTTAATAGAAGAAAAAAAAACAGTAAATGGTAAATAGAATTGGATATAAATAGAATAAAGTTTTTGGGTATTCAATCAGACTATCATTTTCATACATTACCAAGTAATAACACAAGTGTAATCAACAAAAGGCACAACAACAACAACAAAAAGAATTTATGCTCTCTTTTTTTATCTTTAAAAAAAAGGAAAAAAAGACTTTTTCTTTTATTCAGTAAAACCAATAACCAAGTAGATGTTTGTTTGGAAAAAAAGAATAATGTAAGTTTATGTGATGGTATAAATATATTTTCAAATGTTGTTTTCTTTTTTCAACGTATGTAATTTTTAATGTTGCATTGTATGTGAATAGACCATATTTATACCTCTTGGTGGATACAACTTTTAGCTGATATGTAGTTTGTGATCAATGAAGTTAAACAGAATTATGTAATAATTGTAAATGACAGATAGTTCCCATTTAAACATTAAAATTAAAACACGAATTTCAATGAAGGGATCTCTTTTCAACGAATTTATTATCATGCTGTACAATCGCATCTACCAGTTCACCTGCTCTTGTGGAGCAAGGTACATTGGCCGTAGCCAGCGCTCGCTTTCAACTCGGATACGGGAACATATTCCAGCTTGGTTCTATAAGGGGGAAAAGAAAGCAGTTAAGAGCTCTATACTTGAACACCTAATCGACTGTAACCATTCTACAGATTCAAAAAATGAATTTAAGGTTGTTTATATGATTCGTTCCAATCTACCCAGATTTCTTCGCATCCAACTTTTAAAAATAGCCGAAGCTCTTACCATCCAGGAGCTTAAACCAGAACTATGCGTACAAAAGAAGTACGTCTTATCGTTATCGTTACCTTGGTCTTAAGCATTTTGATTATCCAATTATTATTATTATTATTATTATTATTATTATTATTATTACTGCATTCTCCCCTTTACTTATGTCTTATATTCTCATTGTTTTATTCGTGAATGCTCATCATATCACCTTATTTATTTTTTACACCTCTATGACCTTTAACTATTATAACACAAAAAACATTTTAATCATCTTATTATATTCACAAAATCTATTCTACTATTCATATTACGTAATCTAGTATTGTAACCTTTTTATTAACTGTGTTCACATTTTCTCACGGAATTAGTACTTTTACAAAAAATAAGAAAACTTCATATATATATATACGATTGTACAGCTTGATAATAAATTCGTTGAAAAGAGATCCCTTCGCTGAAATTCGTGTTATATTTGTAAGTGATAGTTGTTGACATCAATACGTTTTGTTAATTGACTAGTGTCAATCTATTCAACAAAGAATAATGAAGATATTTAAATATATATATTGGTTATTTATATAATTATCTATTTATAACAATAATAATTGGTTTTTTTCTAGTTTCTTTACTACTTAATATTCATTTACTTTGTAGCTATTTTTATGATAAACTCGTATTTGTTGTAAATGATACTTAAAATCATTTGGTACCTGAAAGGTGTTTTTTTAATCTTTGAACTTCATACTAATCAGTACTTACAATTATTCGACCGATTTCGTTTTAATCCACCAAGATCTACAGCTAACATAATACTTTTAAGTCAGGAAGTTAAAATCCATTGGTTTATACCATCGAATTCAGATAATGTATGATACCATAAGATACTGAGTTACTGTCATATATGAGTTATTAATATGCTACTAACCAGATTAGTATTAAAGATCGCTTTTCCACACTAGGATATCAGGTAAATTATCTTAAGGCTAGTAGCCGGTTAAGATAGTTGGTTTAAGAAGACTTTTGAATTGGAAATTAGTTTAAATCACTGATCTGTCAATTGGAGTCGGAATCAATTTAAAAATTAGTGGTTGAGTTGATGAGCCAATTCAAGCTAGACCACCATGGAAAACCTGAGAGCATTGAACGGCTGTTTCGTCCTACTTCTGGAATCCTCAGAAGTGCATATCCACGATCGCGCTCGCGGAATTCGTGCGTGTTTGCTTAACCTCTAGATCACTGGACCGCTATTCAATGGTGTTAATATCTAATTTCAACCAATCCACGAAATTAAGCCACCCTCCATCTAAAATTTCTTAGTATTTGTTTCAACTTCTCTCTGATTCACTTTCACAACTTTAAGGTTTAAGTCTTATATACTTATGTTAAATAATTTATTAACATGATTTAATTTCCCTCTGACTTATCTTTCTTAAAACGTAGGAAGTATTAGTTTAATGTTTAATTAACATCACTGTCATTATGATACTACATTTATACATATTTAAAGTGGAAATTTTAAGCCCTAATAACAGAGTTCATTAGCTGACAAATTTACTCCGATTTACATTTTAATTGATAAAAAGAATTATACAAATAGTACTAATTTATCATACAATAATCATATGAATAAAATTTATTATGATTTAGATAGTTTGTGTATCACTGAAATATAAACTTTCCGAATAAAACATTATTTTTGAGTATTATCAAATAAAATCAATATTTTTGAAGAGTATCCCCTTAAGATCCTAATAATTCATAATAACAAGATTTAAATACAAAATATAGTAACTTGCACATTAAATAGTTTATTCATTTAAATAAATATACAAGTTGAAGGAAACCTAATAACCACACGAAGAAAAGTCTCTTTTTCTAGTTTATACTATGTACATTGTTATCAGAAAAGGTATATGCAAACTTGTATATATATATATATATATATAGTTTTGAGTTTTGTTAACATTTTCACACATCAGTCTTAAACTATATTTTTCTTAATAAATGATAAATTTGGATGAACATTAAGGATCAAACAAAATAACATTCGTTAACATTGAACAGAAAGTATGTATAAATTTCTTAATTTAGTTGGTTTTTGTCAGAGATCAAATAACATTGTAGTAATCTATATTTTAATGAAAACATGTATTACAGAATTGAATTCTATGAGCACATCCTACTGATGAGTTATTTATTTATCTATTTGTATATTTGAACACATAAACATTGGTACAAGGGGGCACAAAATATATATGCACCACGCAATAACAATGATGCCAATAGCAGTTATCAGTGATGCGTGTAAGGGCTATGAAACTCCCCGGGTGCCCAAACTGAAGCAGGTGGTTTTCTTAAGGGGCCATATATGGAGCCTTGGACCTAAAGGTCTAATCCACAAAGCAGAGGAGCAACTTCAGGAAATCCAGTGAACAACAATGGGTTCATGTGCAATTTCTTTTCTTGGGATTCTTAAGCTCATGTGAACCATTGGTTTGGAATCAGGAAAAACAACACTCCCACCGCGAGAAGGCAATGAGTACGACTTCCCTAGCTGTGGCTGTATACGTGTGGCCATGTCAGAGCATTTCAAAATAGAGAGCGGACTGTCCCTACCCACGGCCGTATCAGGACCATTGGAGGTTACTGATGAGTACAAATTATTACAAGAGATAAGTCCAGAACTATTGTCTCTAAACACTCAAGATATTTACATTTATAAACAAACTTCGTTTAATCTCTACGATTGTTATTCAACTAAAAATGTCATTGTCAAAATATTTATTTACTGATTTTTGTGTCAAATTCATTTTATGTTTCTTCAAGTATCTATTCGAACTTACAATATCACTTGATAACCATTAACTATTTAAAATCGAATTAAGATATTACAGTCTATCGTGTTGTATAAATTTTCAACGTTTTTAAATGATTACTTATAATATTGGCCACTTTTTAAATAAAACATGAATAACAAGATTTGTGGAAAAAAGATGAACACAGATAATTTCATCTATTGCGAAATCTCGTTTCTTTTCTTTATTTACAACTGATTTTGGGCTCAATAGTTTTGATTAGTCATTTGAGCATATTGTTTTATATGACGAATATGAAATTGTAATTATAGAGCGTTGTGAAGACCATCTAATTCAGTTTCATATTACAGATTAAGTTTTGTTAAACAATCACTGAAAACCAGTTATGTTTTTACTAATGACTAACATTGAGAGGTAGTTTCACAAAACCTAGTTGACAAACATGCCCGGTGGAGTCTAGTCATTCAGAAACTGAGTTAAGTACCGAAGATTATCAAGCATTATTGCGAATCTCATGAAGGTGAAAATATAAACCACTGAATAGTAAATAAGAGTCTAAAGATTAATCACTTACTTCTATACTTAAACTCTTGATTTCAATCTTTGACGGGATAGTGGGTGTACTCTGCCAATCAGTTCTATTCCAGGACAAAATAATTGTTCAGTTCTTCCTGATTGTTATTTGATTAAAGTTGCTTTATACTGTGAAACTTTGAATATAAAACTAATTATTTTCATAATAATTATTGGTTTCCATATATTCATCCCCCCTTACTTTACACATAAATTTTGAACAGTTAAGATCATGAGTCAATTGAAGCTAGACCATCATGGAAAACCTGGAAGCACTGAACGACCATTTCGTCCTAGTATGGGACTACTCAGCAGTGCACATTCACGACCCCGCCTCGCGGGATTCGAACCCAGGACCTATCAGTCTCGCGCTAGGCTCTTAACTAACTAGATCACTGAGCCGGCATCCAAATTCATGTTTAATTCTAAGTCACCTTTCACTTTATAATGATTTTGTGTCCCTACTTAACTTTTATTTTTAATCTCATTATAACTTTTAGCCACATTAAAACTGATGACTGTAAATTTATTTTACACTCTTAATCTTGATGTCTTTGTTTTGTACAAATTGACCAAAAGGATCAAAAATATAATTATACACTGATTTTTTTTCATTTGTTTATATTATTAAAGCGACATATATATTTGATGTAATATATATTGGTTCCCACGTAGATGATTTAGTATTTCATTTAAATAATTAATGAATTCATGATTTGTTTATCATGTATGTAATTATCTTATCTCTTAATGGTATTCATATTAAATGAAGAATATACTTTCATATTCAGACAAAAGTTAACCTATAGTCTAAACCGATTAATTTATGTACAGAAGGAACGGCGACAAAATCAGCAGTTTAATTTCATATATAAAACAATAGACTGATAAATTGTATATATAACTGATATATATATATATTTCACAAATCTTCCATTACAGTAAAAGTAGTAGATATTTTTAGATATTTCCTTATTATTATTTAACGTATTCTTAAGTCATTATTTAGTAAACGTCTACATACATATATATATATAATGTTTACATATTCTCCTGGTAATATACTATTAATGACAAGATCATAGA